TCAGTAAGAGGTGGTTGAGTAGGGGGAAGCTGGTACACTGTGGACTTACAGAAAAACAAATAGCCCTGGATTCCAATGCCCAAGTCAGAAAGTATATTCCATGGGTGGGGGCTTGACAGAGTGGTTAAGTCTCCTGGGTTGCCCACCTCCCACATCAGAGCACCTTGGTTCCAGTCTTAGTTCTTTGGCTCCAGCTTCTTGTTAATGCAGAGTGGGAGGTAGCAGGTACCATATCAAGTAACATGTGCCTGTCACCCACACGGGAGACCAGGACTGGGTTCCCTGTTCCTGGTTTTAGCTTGGCTTTAGTCCTGGCATGGTGACCATTTGGAGAGTCAATCGGTGAATGGGAATTAGTCTCAGTCTCCTCCCTGTTCTTTTCCACAAACAAGATATAAATAATCTTATTTCAAATAAATCACTTTTTTTTAAACCAAGCACGCAACTTATAAAAATGGCCTTTTGTCCCCAACACTACCTTCTCTCTACCCCACACACAGAGAGTTGCAAGGCCAGGTAGAGGGCCCCAGTTCTGGGCACAGACCTGGAAATGCCCAAGTCAAGTACTCAGCTTCCTGCCAAAAGGAATGTCTCGTACATGCTGATCCTGGGTCCCGTGTCCTTGCTTTAATAAACAAAAGCTTGTTGGGACTATTTTCACTTTTCAGACTGGACTGTATTTAGCAGTAAGATGGGCACATTCCATTGACCTGAGTTCACTTTTAATTTTTTTTTTTTACATTTTCTTGATATTTTGCCCTGTTTAGAATTTATACACAGCTGCAGACAGGTGAACATAGTAAAGATTTAGAGACAAAGCAATATTGAAAAACTGCACCTAGAAACTGTTACATCTTTAACGCACTGAGGGAAGCACGTGCTTTGGGGAAAGAAGAAATTAAGTGACCACAACCAGTGGCCCAGACCCTTCAGTCCTCAAGCCCAGCAGCAGACAAAAAGGGGAGAAATTGGCCACCACGAAGTAGGGAAATCCCACTAAATAACCTTATTCAAATAGATAAATACAAACATGTGTCTTAGAGACATCCAAGAGCAGAAGTGATTCCAAGGCCGTCTGCCTGGACCCTCAGCATTCCACACCCTAGCCACACTCAGCACATCATTGCAAGCACAGGGAACAAACTGCTGCCCATCCAGGTGGAGGCAGCCATGCTCTGGCCACCCCCACGCCTTCCCCATGGACACCGGAGAGCTCACAGTCTCACTTCTCTAGAAGCAAAGCTATCACTGCAAATCTTAGCACAGGAATTCCATTGTTTGGTTTTGTTTTGTTTTAAGATTTACTTACCTGAAAGGCAGAGTTAGAGAGAGAGAGAGAGAGAGAGAGAGAGAGAATCTTCTATCCATGAATTCACTCCCCAAATGGCTATTATAATAACTGAAACTCGGCAAGCCAAAATCAGAAGCTACATCAAGGTCTCCTAAGTGAGTGATGTGGTCCAGGCACTTGGATCGGATTTCTGCTGCTTTCCCAGATGCGTTGGCAGGGAGCTGGATCAGAAGTAGAGCAGTCGGTCCCTATGTGGAATACTTCTTATTCCTAGTAAGAGTCACTATGGCGAATGAACTTATGTGCTAATTTTGGGCGAAAATCTATTTCTGGTTTCTAAGCAGATAGCAAAATAGATGGAGGGGAAAAAAACCCATCAGGAACCCAAGAAAGAATTAGAATATAGAAGCCTGGTGGCTCTACTGCCACAATCAAGGCAACCTATGACCTCTGAGGGAGAAAGGAACAGCGTCCTCCTGAGCAGTTAGCGGTGACTCTAAACTGTGACCCTACAGTGTGATGGCAAGTTGACTTCATTTCTAGACTGCCAACAACACCAAAGGTCCGGTGCTAAAAGTGTATTTATCTGCTTCTTTATCTGTAATTCTTACTATTTTGTAACAATTGTCTTCACAAAGGCTACTAGCTATAGGTGAGCAACATAAAAGGAACTCTCTCTTGCCACACGGATATGGCTACCATGGCACAGATCATGTAAGAAAACACGTTTCCATTTAAATGTTTGAAACAAATGCCTCCTACATCCCCCTCCTCATCCTTGCTCTGAACCCTGCCATTTAAAGTTACAGCTAACAGTTGCTTGTTACTGGAAAAGTCCATGGTTCTCAAAAGCTATTAGGGCTAACTATCACCTATGGGATCTGAAGAAACACAAAGATCCAAGGACAATCCCCTGCACACAGACTGTTGTTCAGCAGGCATGGGCCAGGTCAGAAGTCTGTGTGTCTCACCAGCTCTTAGATGGCACTGCTGTTGCTGCTGGCCTGAACTGGCTCAAGCCAAGCCCTACGAAAGTCTTGCAGATGGTGACAAGGGCCAGCCGTGCCTTCTAAACACAGGAACTTCAATTCTTACTTCTTTAGGGTGCTCGAGTGTGCATGCACATATCATGTGCAATGGCAGTGCATGCAGTAAAGAGATATTTTGTATCATTCTGATTTTTGTATATGTGCTGTCAAAGCCAGCAGATAACGTGATATTCTATTTATGCAGAGTTCTAAGGAACACTGTCTAAGGGGGAGGAGGGGTTTGGGGAGAAGATCAACTCATTGAACAGATTTTGAAAATCACTCACTCTCATTCGTTCAATTTATTGAAAAGAAAACCAAGACCTAATAAAAGAGCTTGTTCTGTATAACACAGTCTAAAGCATAAACTAGTAGATCTAATGAATTCAATAGGTCTTAAAAACGTTGACATAATCAGAAGACAGCATTGACAGCGCTGGGGTAGGACCCAGGAATGTGAGCTTTACACCTTACATATCTCAGAGATTGCATTCTAACACTGCGGGGGGTGTGTTCTGCCTGCCTGTCTGTCTCTCTATCCTCTTATCCCTCCTCCGTTTCCACATACTTTTACGACTACCACCCCCCTCCCATCATCAGGATCATGATCAAGTCTATGGAGGACTTTTCATAATTTTACACAGTGGATAGTCACCAAGGATTTTACCTTTTACGTAAAAGAAACTTACATCAACATAATCCTTTCCAACACTATGCCAGCAGATAACTTAAATTGTTGTCTGAGGTTATGTGACAAAGAGGCCACGATTTTGTTAAAATAATAATAACAGGGAGATTTCAGCTGGCAGGAATATCCCACTGAATCACCCCTTACTTAGGTCATCCTTGAGTGTTCACAAAGAACAAAATAGAGGGTGACAAAGTATCTTACTCTCGAAAATAATTATCAATGAAATCTATGAAGTCTGTTCTCTACACATTAATAAAAATGTAACTGAATTACGGAGTTTATACACTGAGGCATTTGTGGCTTGAAATAACTGTACTCATAATAAAGGCGTTTATTTTTGGAAGATGAATCCATAGCTGTGTTAATTTTTGGGTTAACTTCACCCTAGTTTTATCTTACTTTCCTTTTCCTATTATCTTTTTGATCTCTAATACTTACATTTTATTTATCTGCCTCTAATAGATATAGTCATATCATCTCCCTGAAGTCTTCTTTGATGCAAGGGAAGACAAAAATCACTAAAGCATGAATCAAGTCATCAAAGTCTTTCTAAGCTGACAGGCTTTTTGTCTGGATAAGAATTCTCAGTAGGAAAATCTGTCACTTGTTTTTCATATACCCATATACTTGAGATACAATATCAGAAAATAGACTAACTGTAAACTTACAAAATGTAGTATCATTTGAGAAAAAAAAATATTTACTAAGACAGATGCCGTGCCCTACGTAAAAAGCCGTTTAAAATCCTCTTGGATCCTTGGGTCCTGTTTGATATGACAGATCTTATTCTTAATATTTTACATAACTATATGACATCTGGAAACTACTGGAAAAAATCAAGAACAAAACTGCAAGAAGCTGTAACAAACTGACACGGCGTAATTAGCATTCCCCTTCCTTCAGATTTCGTGCTTCCTCTCTCTTGTACTACAGTTTGCTCATGAGCAACATGGGGAGAAAGCTGATTTCCGTAGCTGGTTTTACCTAATTTTCCTCTCCCAGCAGGGGCCTGTGTTTCCTAGACAGCCCAACATACACAGTCTCCACACTGCTTCCTCCGCACACACATTCTCATAGGTGCAGTCCCTGTCCCTACTTAGCTTAAGATAATGAGGAATGCGTGAATTCAATGAATGTCATACTCATAGCAGTGCTAAGAGTTGTGCGTGATTCTTCTCGCCACTCATATATATAAAGTCAACTAACTTCTCAAGATGCCAGCCTGTCTGGCCCCGCCAAGTCAGTCTTCTAGATGCCTAGAGAAAAAAAAAAGCCACTGCTTTGCTTCCCAGTGGAATCAAAACTGGTTATCTCTCTATCTCATCTAAATTCTTCACAGAAGAGCAGGAGCCTTCCTTCCCAGATCTACTGATCTGTATCCACCAGAACATTCTGAAATACCCCAGGCCCTTCCAAGCTGGTGCCTCTTGGTCTCTGCATGGTAAGCCTGCTGCTTCTTCTCCTTCTCCAGTTATGACTCGTTTACTGGGGTGCAAAGGTTGCTACCACACAACAACAAGGGGTGCCTAAGACTGAACAGAGGCATGTCATGCAGGGACAGGTGTCACTACAGCAGAGAACTAATTACATCTAGTTTTATGAGGTATAATTATTTGGAGATTTAAACTAGACTGATGCTTAACGGCCTTCCCTTTGGATTTCTTCCACATCCACCCATTTAAGGTGAAACAACAGACATAGGCTAAGGTGAAAATGCTTTCAGGAATGCGTGACTAAAATAATGTAGAAAATCACATGGCACATGTGACCAAAAAGTGGCGTGAGGTCATTCTGGTATGAGGTCTCAACTTAAAAAAAAAAGATAATGCAATGGTCTCTTGCTAGGATGAAACACATCAGAAGTCCATGCAGTCATTCCTAGCGGAACACAGCCCACCGAGACACGTTGTTCTGAGGGGTGAAAGGGCCTGACACCACGATGTCCCTCTCTCGGGAACTCACTGTCTATAGCAAATGTCTGGAGCATTACCTTGCAAGTCGGAATCATTCGACTTTGGACTGCTTCTTGCTCGCCGCTCGGTTTTCTTAATTCCTGGCCCACCTCCGCTGCCGCCGCCCCCGCCTCCGCCGCTCCCACCACCGTGCCCCTTCCCGTAGCCATTGTACACCGTGGTGCAGCTGCTTTTGTAGAGAGAGGAAGGAGGGCTGTTGAGGCGGTTCTGGCGGTCAATCTGGCGCTCTTTGACTTTCTTGTGTGGAGGCTTGCTGTACTGGTCTTCTCGAGTAATGTAGCTTGACATTCCATAGAGCGGTATAATTTCTAAAGGGGATCATATGACAATTGCAAGCTCAGTCTGAATTTTTTGATCAGATATTGTTAAACAGTCCAATGACCTGACCCCTTGTTCATCTGTATATGAACAAATACAGTCTAAAAGATATTTTTAAGGAAATGCTACATATGTTTATGTTTTTTTTTAACAATATTCCTATCCGTTTCTAACAAATCAGGGAAGAATCCATCTTAAAAATCATATTTTAATTCATAAATTTTCTATAAGTGATAGAGAAAAATGAAGGAGCCAAAGGACCTGTCCTTTGGCTGGGACTGTAGTGTAGTAGGGAAAGCCTCAGCCTGCAGTGCTGGCAGCTCTTTTTAAGTCCCAACTGCTCCACTTCCAATTCAGCTCCCTGCTAATGCACCTTGGAAAGCAGCAGAAGACAGCCCAAGTGCTGGGGGCCCTGCACCCCTCTGGGAGACACAGAAGCAGCTCCTGGCTCCCAGTTTCAGACCGGTCTAGCTCCAACCATTTGTGGAGTGAATCAGTAGATGGAAGATCTTGCTCTCATGCTCTCTGTAACTCTTTCAAATAAATAATTACATCATTAAAAAGTTACTGTCCTTAAAGTGTTCTACTCCAGCTGAATTTATAATTAAGGTTTTTTTTTAAATTTCTGCTAGTATATTTTTATTGGTGCAATACACTAAAAAGGAAGAAACTACCCCCTTTATACTTTAATCAATACACTGAACATATGCATAATAGTGCTAATATTGGAAAATATATAGCAACCCAATAGAAGGATATATCTACGACACCCCTCCCTCCGCAAAGAAAAAACCCAACACTTGAACACCACTTCCTAAACAATGAGATGAGAAATTTCCATCGGAAATAATCAAAGTTCACAGAATCAAGGGAAATGGTCAAAGGAAAAAGGGAAAAAATGTCCAAAGGAAACAGCAGGGATAAAGATAAGCCACTTGTGAAATCGTATGCCAAACATGGTAATCCCTCATCTCAAGCTCTGTTTTGAAGTTGAGGGAGGCAGGACACAAGTAAAATGTCACCTACTCACTATGTGTGTTTCTAAAAGAGAACAGGGTTCTATAAAATAATGTAACAATCCTAGAGGAGGCATACCTACTAAACTAAAAACTTTAAATCCGTTTCAAGTCATACTTAGCAATCAGTGACTATGATAACACCCAACAAAGAGACTGCATATTCCTGTCTTTACAGGAAAAAGGAGGGGTGGGGGGGACGGCAGGGAGTTTGGCACACACACACAGCCTGGCCTTGTCACACAGCCAGGAGGTAAGCCGCTGCCTGAGACACTGACAGTGCAATCCTGGTTGCCCCACTTCTGATCTACCTCTCTATTAATAAGCTTGGGAAAGCAGCAGAAAGCAGTCCAGTGTTTGGGTCCCAACAACTCATTTGGGAGACCCAATTCAGTACCAGCCCCGTCTTTGGCCTGGCCAAGTCCAGGACCAAGAGAGGATTAGTCCTAAGGTCTTGCTAGGCAAGAGACTTAAACTAAGACTGTCCTGGACACAGCAAGAATCCACGAGTGCAAACACAATGTTAACAGTTGATGTTTCAATTGTCAATTGGTGGAGCATCACTCCTCACTTTCTAAAAAGGAAGATAACAAAATAGCTTTCATCACAAGGTCTCCGGTGTGCACTGGAGAATATGAAAACAAACACAATGCCATGCAGAGAGTAGACACTCAGAGAAACTGCGAAAATATAACAGGATGATCAACGTTGTAAACACTACAATGCAATATAGATGCGATTTAAAATATTCACCACAGGAACTGATATAACAGTATTCATTTAAAAATGTCAATTTTTAAAAAATTTTATGCTTTGGAAAATTAATGTTTAACTTGCTTTTAGGTATATACACCGAGAACTAAGGTAAGACAATATATAAATAGCTCTCATTTATAAAGCAAGATCATTTTGTTTCAGAGTTGAGTTAAATTTTAAATCAGTGAGAACAGTTTATCTAGACTTTTATGTGTCATTTTAATGAAACTGAACTGAAATAGCACTAGGAAACGAAGAGACTAAGCTTTCTGTTTGTTTAATTTTAATGACTGAATTCATACTTTCAGCTTATGTAAAACTGTAAAGGCCATCATTGATAAAGCAATACTAAGCCTGGGGTACACTGCTAGGACTGCTGAAGCCTGGCGTGCCAGGCAGCACCATCACACGAGGAGGCAGTGGCCACACACGTCCAGTGCCATCCTTGCTCAGATCCAGAGGAAAACCCTGAACAAATGTAAAATTACACAAAATCAAAGTGTGTTAGTTCTTTTCCAACTATGATTTCCTATGGGCCCACTATTGGATATTTTTGCTGTTATATTGATAGGCAAAGAGATCAAATGAATATGACAGTATTGATACTGCTGGAGAACTGAAGCAATGGCTTCAGCTTTTGTTACAGGCTCTCTGTTCCCTATTAGGAAAGCACTGATTATTCTGCCTGGTGCTTTTTTTCAAAGAACCAAATTTCCATCCCTAAGTTACAACAGGATATGTCACTTAAAAACTCCGTATCAGATGTTTCTTTCATCAATAAGGAAAAAAGTATATAATGTGAGGTGAACACACCAAGAAAATGTAAATTAAAACCACATACACGTATAATTGGTAAGAAAGTGGGGGTGATAAATTCTTAATCAAAAAAAATTATGGTGTCGCTGATATGTTTCATTCCATTTATCTGAATTAACATAAATGTGTCAAGCCACTGAATGCTTCAACTCACTGTCAAGACTAAGAAGGAAAATCAGTTGTGTGCAAAGACCTAGAGGTTACCCTCAGTTTGTTAGCTCCCTTCTTTCCAGAGCAGAGCCTCAGGCTCCAGGTCAACTTCTGCCTGAGAAACAGTAAGATTGCAGCTGTGACAATGACAGCGTCGGGGGACCACGGCAACATCGAAGGAGTTTTGAGTTGTCCAACACATCGTTTTCAGATTCAACATAAAGCATTCAGGAAACCAAAAGTTTATGGAGGCTTCACAACCTTCAGACCTCGGAAACAGGGCACAGCACACTTTTCTATTATTCCTCTTCGCTACTGTTGAAGCATGAGGAAATAGGTGTCAATGAAAAGATGGGCTAATCTTGCCCCAAGTCACTCACACATGAAGATCTGTTCATAGGACCCACAACGGATCACCGACACTTTTCTAAAAACAAAGTGGCTATCCCACTTTGTACGGTGGGGTCCGAAGTTATGAGAAATGAGAGAAAGAGTTGGAAAGCACAAGATAATTTGTCCAAGACACAATTCAAGAAAGGAAACTGGTCTTTTCCCGTGAGATTCATGCCAGGTAGATCCCTTTAGACTATGCTCTTTATAAAGAAAGGAAAGGTGCTCTGAAACTGACAAATCAACCACATCTACAGCCCCGGACAACAACGCCAATCCACTCACCTTGCTCCCCGTAGATGGTCGGAGGAAGATGATGCTGAGGGAAAAACTGTGGTGGTATATCTCCAGGTCCAGTCACAGGTGGGTAGTAAGCCGTGTGAGAATTATGGATAAAATGTGGGTGGTGAGTCAGGTACGGGGGCAGGTGATGAGTGGGTGACATGGCGGAGGGGTAGCTTGGCGGGTAACACTCAGGAGACTGAGGGGTCACCACCACCCGGCGGACTCCGGTGCTGTCTTCAATCACCTGCGGAAAACAATGCAAAAAGGAAGACCAGGGTAGAAATTATTAGCACACATGCTAGGAACGTATACCACTGGTAATTTCCTGTTTAAAATGGGAGGACTCAGGGAGGGGGCCTTAACACAGAATGTTCTGCAATTCTACTCATTAAATGATTTCTGGAAGTAACAACACTCAGCTTCAAATTTACACAACTAAATTTCATCAACCATCTGATTTTGATCCCACAAAACTTTCTGCAGACACCAATATCTTGTTAAGAAATCTCACTTTCATTTCTTTATCTCATCATAAAGTCTTCACTGGCTTTATCCAAGAGAAATGAATTTAATTTGTGCTAATATTGATTTTCAGAACAAGCTTAAACATAGTTCAGTGGTTCACAAGAGGCTTCCAAGATGACAAAGCTCTGGTTTCAGGACTGGACTTGCAAATTGGCCTAAGAGCATCCTACCCTGCTCCTGCTTTAGCATGCAGAGTGCCATTCACAAAGGCATCGACGCTAATGGTTTGAACAAAGCCACTTGCCAGTGTGACAACTCACTGGCTAATACTCAAACTGCAAGCACTGGCATCCTATATGACACTGTTTCATGTCCTACCTGCTCTACTTTCCATCCAGCTCATTGGTTATGGCCTGGAAAAGCAGTGGAGAATGGCTCAAAGCCTTGGGACCCTGCACCCATGTAGGAGACCAGATGGAGGCTTCTGGCTCCTGGCTTCAGATTGGCTCAGCTCAGGCCTCTGCAGGCATCTGGAGAATGAACCAATGAATGGAAGATCTCTCTTTCTTTCCTTCTCTCTATGAATCCGTCTTTCCAATAAGAATAATAAATCTTTAAAACAAACAAACAAAAAAAAAAACCAAATATGACTGTGTGAATATATTGCAATGAATTTCTAATTGTATCTTAGGAAGATAGTTATACTCAAATATTAAATGACTTAAGTCTAAAATGCACCAACAACAAAAATGATAAAACTTATACTTAGCTTCATTAAAAAAAAATTACTGCTTATGCCAAATTGGCAAATCAACCAATGTCTGCTCTATATTTCAGTGTACAAGGTCAGTTTAGGTTATACTGCCAATCCTTGATCTTTTTCTAGGAAACAAATATCTTTACATTTGTTATTAAATCTGTTAACCCAGTTTCTATCATGATTTTTTTCAATATAATGTTTGTCACTTCAATTTTTTTTAAAGATTTATTTATTTTTATTGGAAGGTCAGATATACAAAGGAAGAGAGACAGAAGACCTTCCATCCGATGATTTACTCCCAAGGTGACTGCAACAGCTGGAGCTGAGGCAAGGCAAAGCCAGGAGCCAGGAGCATCAGAATTCCTCCAGGTCTCCCATGTGGGTGCAGAGTCCCAAGGCTTTGGGCCATCCTCCACTGCTTTCCCAGGCCACAAGCAGGAAGTTGGATGGGAAGTGTGGCAGCTGGGATTAAAACTGGGGTCCATATAGGATCCTGGTGCATTCAAGGTGAGGACTTTAGCCGCTAGGCTCATGCACCGGGCCCACGGTTTCTATTATGTTAACAGCTCATTTAGAAAACAATATTATGTCTTTAAAACTGAGATTCTGGATTATATTACCTACTGAAACTTCTAGACAGATTTCTTTTTCACGTTTATTTAATGTGTCTGAAAGGCACAGTGACAGATCTCTCATCCACTGATCAACTGCCCACATGGATAAAAACGAAATAGCCGAGTCTGGGGCAGGCTGAAGACTGGAAGCAGATGCTCCATCAGGTAGTACCAAGTGGTAACAAGGGAAGTGCTGGGCCATCACTCTGCTTTGCCAGGTGTATTAGGAGGGAGCTGGACAGCAACAGAGGCTGAACTCAATTGCAGGCACTCCATCCCGGGAGTGAGTGTCAGCAGTGGTTTACATGCTATGCCACACGTTTGGCTCTCAGAACATAGCTTCTTATGCATTGTTCAGCAAATGAAACTTCTTCTCAGTCTTGGCTAACTAATCCTACGAACACCATTAATGCATGCACAGATGCCAATTCACAACTGTAAGAACATGGTACGGAAACCAAGCCACTGGAATTCCTCATGCGCACATCAATAATTATCACCACAGTCTCTTCCACTTATTCAAAATTCAGCATATAAATATTCTATCACAATTTGTGCAAGTTTAGTGTAAATATGTTGTGGATTTGCCATCTGATACTAACACGCATTTTTCTAAACTTCATAAGTTACTTAAAAAAAAAACAATAAAGCATCTCTCTCTCTCTCTCTCTCTCTCTCTCTCTCTCTCACAGAATCTTCATTCGATTCTGGAGAGTCCTCAAAGGCAAAGAATTCTCTAGACGTTCACAACTGTTACTATATTATTCAATACAAAAAAAGTCAACAAGCAACTGCTTAAACGTGACTTGGTGTGAAATATAGTAAGAACAGCCACTCACTAAATATGAGGGATTCTTTGAACTGATAAAAGGTAGTAATAATAAAAAAACTTTTATTATATAATATCTGACTTATAACAAAATGCTTTATGTAACAAATGAAATTAGTCCAAAAAATGCCAATTAGATCCAAAAAGAAAGAGAGGTAACCATCTTCTTTACTACTGTATTTTGTAAGAATATTTATTCTTTTAAAATTACTTTTAAAATTTTAATATCAATGCAAACCATAAACTACTTTAACACATGCACCGCCATAAAGGTCACTAGTTGGAAAACCAAGTAGTTTTTGAAACCCAAACTTCCTAAACATAAAAAATTAATAGATCCATCTTTAATTTTCCTAAATTTTTATGCAGCACTCATGAAAGCTACCCCAAGGGGACACTCACTAAATCCAAGTTATTAAACCCAAACTTAGCCTGCATTTTTTAAAAAATAAAGCATTACTTCTAAAATAAGTAGGCATATCCAAAGTGTGATGAATATTTAATTCACTTGTCCTTTACATAACATAAATTATATTTTAGTTATCAAGCTCAGATTTGAGATAGGTCTGAGGGGACTGTGCCTAAGTTGCCCTAAGAACAGGAAACTCTGAGGCTCAATAATAGAGCACCAAAGAAGCCACACGGAAACTGGCTGCAATGACAGTCTCCCTTACTGAAGGTGGCTCAGAATAAGTTTTGTAACTGTAGTAAAAGAATGTAGACATCTGAAAGAGTTCGGTCCAGAAAACCCTCAAGTAATACAAGAGGCCTTCAGGCTTCACAGATGGCTAAGCAAAGATTAATTTCCTTGTGGGGTGAATGGAATGAGACAATGTCCAATGGCAGACAAATAACCTCTACTCAATTCTACAGTTACTTCCTAACAGACACTATGTGCAAAGGACTTATGTTCAAAGAAAAGGAAAAAAAAATGCTAAACAATACAATTTGTTTATACAGCCCAAAAAATAACAAAGAGAAAAACTAGATTGAGTCGATACAAGTGCCAGAGAAAGCGATTCTTCTAGAGTTTTCCCACATCTGAGCCTCACCAGAATGGCCACTCAGGTCCACTGCAGAGAAACATGATGACAAAATCACTATGCTAGGCTCTCAGATTGCCATCTGCTTGGGGATAAACTGTGCCACCCCCCATGCCAGGTATACATTTAAGTCCCAATACTCAATGCCTTGGAATGTGACTATATTTGGAGATAATTAAGGTGAAACAAGATTATATGGGAGAACTCTAAACCAGTGTTCGGTCACTGCCCTTATAAGAACAACAGGTGAGGAGGACAGACACGCACGGAGGGAAAATCACGTGACAATGCCCAAGGAAGACAGCCATCCCCAGTCCACCCCTGCCTACAACTTTACCAGACTTCCAGCCTCCAGGACAATGAAAAGATACACATCTGTCCTATGAAATCTACCAGGCTGTGTTCCTTCACTACAGTGGCCCTAGAGCAAGGGGGTGCCACCCATGAGGGCCTCAGCATCCATGTCCTCCGATGTTCTCCTGGTGCATCAGCAGTCAGCTGGATCATTAAGTAGAACAGCCAAGACTCAACTGGCATCTAGATTGGATGCCAGTCACAAACAGCAGCTTAACTCACTGCATTAGGATGAAGGGCCCTCAGTATTTTTAAAAAATTGATACAAAGGGAATAAATATCATGTATTTTACATAATTGGCTTTAAGGAGAACCACAGCTTTCATACTTGTCTGCACACTGCTGTTTTCCTTATGTGCAGAATAATATACAAGTAAGGTTGGCAGAAGAGCAAATCCGTAAACAAGCTGGTGATGAGAATTAGGATCACCGGGTTATGAACAGACTTCTTAAAAATTGTCCATAGGTCTACTATTCTTGCCATGCCACAGCTTAGACACAAGGATGAGTTACTGGAATATGGACTTGTTGATTATCTGTTGTTGGCTTTAATCGCCTCTATCTGAAATGAGTCAACTCAGGTTAATTCCTGGAACACTACCCAGCAGGCACTAAGAGCAAGCCATCACTACAAACTACCACTATGCAGGCCGCCATGTCACCCTCGGCTGCCAGCAAACCAGTGTCATCCCCGAATTAAGGGAAAGAAAACAAACAAACAATAACAACAACAAAACAGGAACAAGGCTTGGCTGGGGTCAAGCTAACCTGCCCAAAGACACAGAGTTAGCAGGGAGAGGGTGAGAAGACAGGATCAACTTAGAGGCCAAGATTTAAAATAATTTTTCTATGTTGGCCCAGCTACTTCCAGGAGACCCCGATGAAGCTCCTAGCCCCTGGTTTGGCATGGCTCAGCCCTGGCTTCTGCAGCCATTTGTGAAGGGAACTAGAGGGTGGAGGATCTGTCTATGCATCTGTCTCTTATGCCACTGTGTCAAATAAATAACTAAATCTTTAAAAGCAAATAAATAAGTGAATCTCCTAAAAACTCTTGTATTTTGAGAGTCTTCAAGATGCAAGGCTAGCAGATGGGAAAAGGTAGTTCCGCTTTGCTGAACGGAAATGCTCCACAAGGCTTTTAAATAAACACCTAACTTTCCAAAATGGCTTCTATTCCTA